TCTTTATCTGCATCTTTAACATCTCTTCTGCTTCTATCTATCTGTACAGGAGTGGTAACACTGCTCTCCCTAACAGGGGTAGGTTGGGAAGATGGATTCAAGAGTGTGAGGTGCTGAGCTATTGCTGTTAGTGAATGCGAATAGCTTATGATGAGAAATGTGGAAGTGAGTCTGTTATTAAATTTATACAGGTCTAACAATGTAATCAAATTAGCCTTTGCACTTTCTCCTGTGCTCCACTCTCTACATTAGAGTATCTTCATAAATCTCTTTGAAGCTATTTCATTTGTTCTTTTTAATGCTCTCCTGGTGTGATGCAAAGAAACACCTAAATACTTGGTAAGTAGTGAGTGGGCTGCAAGCACTAACAGCTGTATCTGCTGCTATGCTTGGTGCTCAGGAGTGCACTTGGATCATTTTGCTGATCAGTCTAATCGAGATTAGCACATGTGATGATACATGCTGAGCCCTCTGGGCCTTTGCTCACAGATGGACAGTATGATTTTAACACCCAGGATCTGGCTTCATGGGGGGTCATTATAGTGCAGCGATAGAAGAGAGCGGTGACACAGCATTTGCAAATGAGTACTGCCAGGTTGAGGGTGTTTTACCAGGACCAAAGGCTGGTGATGAAGCACTCCAAAATAAAATGCCAGGCTGAAATGTCAGGCTTTCTCTAAGCCTTTTCTGCCTGAAACCAATATTCACATACTTTTCCCATGGATTTTCACAGCTTTGGATCTAATTTCAGGCTGTAAATGAAATGAACAGATTTTAGGTGCTTGATTTCCAGTAGCTCCTGGGTTTTTTTTTTTTTTTTGTTTGTTTGTTTGGTTTTTTTTGAAGGGGGTGGGAAGAAATTTGGTGTTGGGACCATACAAATGTCGGGGTGTTGAACTTTCATGGGCACTGTTTTATTTACCACTCGTTCATTTTTCTTCGTGCAAATACTGGTTTGTTGGTTAACACCTTTCCCTGTGCTGAAACACAAAGATTTCAGCGGTGCCTGAGGGGCACAGTCACTGACATACCTCATTTGGCCAAGGGGTGGCCCACCTGCACTAGTCCACTATTCCTGTCCTGGCTGATTCCCGGTACCGATCTTCCCATTGTCTGCTGGTGCTTTCTGCATTTCTACACAGGCTGCTGTGGAGTTTCTTGAACACAGCCATTTTGTGTTAAAACTGTACTTGCAATCGTGTTGCAGATCAGAATGCATCTATCTGCAGTGCAAAGCTGCCTACTGCTCCCAGATTCCTCTTGCTTTTAATATACATGTCTGGTTGTTGTTTTTTTTTTTTTTTTTAATATAAGGCAGACCTATTTCAAGGGGCTGAGGTGATGGGGGGGATTGAACACTAATTACTAAGTTTTGTGAGGGCATTCCTTAAAGATGTAATCTCCTCTAGCTCATTTTGAGGGAAAAAAGACCTTTCAAAGGAAAGTGGAAATGCTTATATGCCTAATTAAACAATTTATTGTATTACAGTGGGGCTTCTATTCCTTTAATTTAATGAAGACATGGCTTCAGTGGGGCTGTTTACATTTATAGTATGAAATTGGACCTTTTCTCAGGCAGTGGTCCTATTGAATATGGGGATGCACTAAATATGATCCCCCTATGTTTTAGCAAAGATAAGGATGCAGGGAATGTATTAATTGGTAGCTTTGGGTTCCTGAAATAATCTGAAGGATAAACTCTTCCATTGTTTCAGTGCGTTCTGTTGATGATAGGATAAACAGTACACCAATGAAATGGCAATGCAGAATCAGAAGATGGTCAGAACACAAATGATGCATGAGAAATTACGTATGCAGGAGAGAAATGAAACTGAACTTGTAAAACTGAGCTTTTGCATATCTGTGGGAAATAATCAGAAATGCACTAACTCAAAAGATGTCTGGTTTAAAAAATAGTTGGTATTATGTCTAATAGCTGACAGCAAACTAGATATAAAGTGGCAAGGTATGTGGGGCAAAGCTGTCATTTTCTGATACCATAAGCAAAAGCATTTTAGAGCTAGTTGCTTATTACGGCTTTAGTATGATTACATTTCTGGGCAAACCGTTATGAGATGTTGGGAAAACTGGAGGGGATTTGGAGTATAACAGTATTACTAACACTAGAAATGACTCATGAGAAAAATTTAAAGGATGAAACACAAGACCTTAGCTAAGCAATGATTAAGAGGGTACACCGTTTGCAGAAGTGAAAAAGCTAAAATGTCAGGGGCAGAAAGGAAATAGCAGGATGCAAAAAGAATAACTTGAACAGATTACAGAATATAGTCTGGGGGGAAAAAATGGCATGAGCCTGAGATGGCTGAATAGTTTGAGATCCCCCTAGATTTTTGTAATAAGAATTCTATTCAAATCCATAATGTACTCTTTGGTGGCAGATAGGAAGGGATCCCAGAAGAATATCCACCTTCTTTTTGATTACTCACCTTTTCTGATGCATGAGGGCTGGTGAACACTGGACAACTTCCTACTGATTAGGCACTGCTGAGGGAGATGCTTCTGAACAAGAGATGTGCAGCATTTCAGTGTCTCTCTGTTTGGCTGCTGTGGCTGAGCAAGGTGGATGGGACGTGTTCAGTGTGGGATGCCTTCTTTGTTGAGAGAAGGCTACCAGGAATGCTGCAGCACTGTGCTAATTTTTGTCTTCTCTTGAAGGGCCAACTGCTTGCATGGAAGATGCAAAAGGCAGGAGAGGATTGTCTGCTGCAGGTAACAAAAAAGATGTGTGGCAAAACCAGGAGCTATAGAAGACTGAGCTGCAATAAACAGAATCCATAAGTACATGCAGTTGCAGAAGGGGATGAGACAATCATTTTATAATGCTGAATTTATTAACTTTTTAGACTGTACTTAATGACAACTTGGGAAATGAGGTTGGGACTCTGTTCCTTGCCATGGGAAGAATAGAGAACAAACCAAATTTCTTGGAAATTTGGAGGGGGAGGGGGAGGGAGCAGCTGTGATACAACCTAGAGCATGATGGCTGCTGTTAAATAGGTTATGAATCACATGAAGCTCATCTCAGTGTTTCCCAGAAAATTAAGATGTTGCTAACATATCATTTGAAATGCCCCTAAATTACAAGCCTGCCAGTAGTTTGTCAAATAGCAGCTGAAAAAGGGGAGCAAATGAGTTTGTGACATGAGATTGTGATAAGAGACCTGTCTTGCCCCTCAGCTGCAGAGGCTCCCACAGAGCTTGGCGTTTTATTTGTTCTTTGTCATGCTATCCCTCTCAATATACCAGCAAGGTGCTGTTTCTGAGATTTTGTGCTTTGCCTTGATTTCTGGAGGACGAAACCTATGGTGCTTAGTGGAATAGCATTGGCATGAGTATACCACATGGGGCTATTCCTACTGTAAATTTGGTGCAGGGCTGCATTGTGACTGATGTTCTCAGTCATGACAATTTATCTGTTCAAGTAGCTATGTGATGGGAATGGTTCTGGTGGCAAACCTTAGCTCCTTTTGAGCTACAGATGAGTAGGTGATTTGAGTAGTGAAGATGTGACCCACTGCCATAAATAGATGCGTGCCGTGCCTTTCATTTACTGGTGACTTAAGTTATGTACTCCATGCTGTAAAGCAAAGCCCCTTCCTTGTCCTCCTGGTGGCAGTAAAAATGTTGGATTGCTTGTGAGGTATGGCATCCTCTTGCATCAGGAGCAAGTGCTTCTGAAAATGATACTGTTCAGGAGTACGTATATGTTTTGGTGGCCCCAATGGCTCATATGTGGTACAAGGGTGCAGAGAAATATATTGTCTAGCTGCTGTATGAGTAAACAATGAGTGATGCTACTGTAAAGAGCTCTGTGCAACTAGAAGTTCCTGGTCAAAGACTGAATGAATAGAAAACTGGCCATCTGGATCTCCTCTTAATACCAGGACTTTGTGATGTAGCTTGCAATTTGCTTGAAGCCCGGAACCTGAAACTTGCCCTGTGGAGAGACAGCCTTGCTCTTAATGCATTTGCAGTACTTAGTCTTCAGTACTTTTTCTAACATGAACAAACAGGCCAAAATCTTGGCAATGGCGAAAGGTCAGAACGGCCTTTTACAGAGTTATGATTTAGACAATCCTGCAATGTGGCTGTCAGCCTCACCTGGTGCTGAGGAGGCTGAAAGGCCTCCCCCCCAGCAGTGGCATGCAGGAGGCACCACAAGGTCACCCTTTATCTCTGCTGCTGGTGCATCTACACATCACAGTTTTGTTACTTAGTCTCTGGAAGCAGACTCCTCCAGGGTTGTGGGCTGCAGGTGAAGAAGAAACCTCCAAAAAGTAAGTTTCGGTATATTTAGGGGTTGTATATTGTGATGGGTTTTTTTGTGGGTTTTTTGTTTTTGTTTTTGTTTTTTTTTCTTTGCAGGAAGAAGTCCCAATTAGGGCCCTGTCTTGACCAAAAGTCAGAACTTTCACCAGAGGCTTCAGAACTGTGCCTTGCCAGCAGAAAGGAGGAATATACCTGAAAAACAGTATTCCACCTGCCAGAAATGTACCTAGTTGTACACCAGCTTATGCTGTTCTAGTGTCATTTTTGTTTTGGTGGATGCTGACCACCCTTTCTCTGAGGTCTGCTGTGAAATCGCAACTCCGTCAGATGAGGGGAGAGTGAAACCGCGGCTGGGAGCGCGCGCACGGCGCGAGGCTGAGGGCAAGTGCGGGCCGCCCCTCAGGGACCCACAGCCACCTCATGGGACCGCCATTTTGGGGCCAGCTGCCGAGGCGCCCCCCGGCGCGGAGAGCTCCGTTCCCGCACGGGGCGGCAGCGGCGGGTCCGCCCCGTCAGGGGCGTCTCCTCGGCGGCGGCACGGGGCCGCCTCCCCCGTCCCCGCCTCCCGGCTCCCCAGTCGCGCCGGCGGCTGGACGGGAGCGGAGCGGAGCCGCGGCGCGCTGCCTGCCCGCCCCGTCCCGACCCGACCCATGCGCTGAGGGGCGGCGGGATGGGGCTGCGGGGCGGTGGCGGCCGTGCCGGGGGGCCGGCTCCCGGCTGGACGTGCCTGCTGCTGTGCGCCGCGCTCCGGAGCCTGCTGGCCAGCCCGGGCAGCGAGGGTGAGCGGAGACGGGGCGGCCGGGGCAGAGCCCTGCGTCGGGCTGGTTTTTGTTCGATTTCGTAGCGCTTCACGGGGGGGAGCGGGGAGAGCGAGCGAACGCGTTCTGCCGGGTGCGGGCGGCTTGCACAGGTGCGCGTGCAGCCGGGGAGTTGCACAGGTGCGCGGGCTGCGCGCGAGGTGCTCACGCAGCTCGGGTGCCCGCGGGACTCCCGCTCCCCGCAGCGCGCTGACTCCGTGCCTCGGAACGCAGCCCCGCTCAGCCCGCTGCGCCGCGTCGCCGAGCTGCTTTGGGGTGTCTGAAATCGCTGGGAAGCCGGCAGCCGTAAATACACGTTCAGCTCTTCTGTCCAGCGGGGGTGCATTTTTTTTAATTTTTATTTTTATTTTAAATTTTCCGCTCTTTTATTTTTTGACATCCGTAGGTACGCCGTGGTAGAAAAGCAGGGAATGGGGAACTTGAGCATCCCGGAGGGGGTTGCCGGCCGCTTTTGTGATGCGCAGTAACTGCGATTCGTGGTCATTTGCGAAAGTCTTTGGAGGGAGGAGGGATGCGGGGGGTGGCGCGGAGAGCAGTGGCCAGGATGTCAGAGACGCGGCCCGAGGTGACCGGCGAGCTGTAATTTGTTGTGGCAGAGTGCAAATAATGCCGATCGCCGCTCGAACGAGAAGTACAGAGGCAAGGGGAAACGCTGCTGTTCTAAGTGCGAGGGTGTTTCACGTTAAATATTAGGGAAAATCTCCGAGGGATGAGGTACTGGCACAGACTGCCCAGGGAGGTGGTGCAGTCACTGTCTCCGGAGGTGTTCAAGAGCTGTAGAGATGTGGCACTGACGGACGTGGTCCGTCAGTGGGATGGGTGGGAGGGGTCGGTGGTTGAGCTGGATGATCTTAGAGATTTTTTCCAGCCTTAGCGGTTCTGTGTTTAGCATCCAGAATACGCGTTGCTTCGGGCGTTCTGGAAATGGCTTTGACTCTCTCCCAATGGGACAGCAGTGGGCCCCATCCTTCAGCCCCGCGCTGCTCTGGCTGCTGTCGGTCGACTGCTGCCGAGCAGCCCCGCTCCTGGGAAAGGCTCACCTGCCTGTCGGGATGTGCTCGCACTTGACGTCGATTTAGGTTTGAAAAGTTGGGTTTGGCTGCTTACAGGTTCTGCAGAGAGACCCTCCCTGGGATTGGTTGTCCTGCCCAGCTGGCGGGAAGCTTTGCCTTTGCTGGGGTGGAGGTGGCTGTCTTAGAGCCGAGAATGCTTTCTGAAGTTGTGTGCGTTGGTTTTTGTGGGTCTTGCTGTTATCCCTCGTTCTGCTCAGCACGGTTAAAAAACATCTAGCAGTATCGGTATGTAACATGTATGAGCATTTGCCATCCTTTGTGCAGCTACGTAATTGCTATTTTCAGAAACTCCATGACGATTTTTGTTTCTCAAACGCTTACTGTAATACACAGTGGCATTGTAAGAGAAGATATGTGCAATTGGCAACTCCTTGTGCCCGAGTTCCTGTCTTATCCTACAGCAGAGACTATGGGGAAAGCGCTTTAATAATCTATGCTAAAATTTGGAGGGAGAAAAGAATGAATTGTTTGGGATCCATAGGCTGAAAATAGCTTTTGGAAAGTGCAGCTGAGTTTCATCAGCTCCTGACTTTTTTTTTTTTGTGTGTGTAAGTATCGTAAATGTCCACTAGGTATTTCCAGTTACAGGTTATAGGGTAAACACTGAGGAAACTGAATTAAATTTCTGCCCTGTTTTCCTCTGAAAGGGAAACAAAACCAACTTTGATTTTGGTTGCCTTTTTCTCAAACTGTGTTATTAAAAGCCAGACGTGCTGGGCTCAATGCTGTTTCACATCCCGGGTATTGTTTAGCTGTTAACAGAGTTCATTCATTAGAATTAGAGGTTTCCCTCCTCCCTTTGACTGCTTTTACAAATTCAAAAACCTGTCACAGTGCAAATATTCCAAAGAGTTCTGTGAAAATATTACATATAATTTGGGAACACCGGTATTTCATGAGTAGCTGACTGCTTTCAGATGCTTTGCCTGTGAAATGTGTAGGGAGCTGCTGCCCTCAAGTTACCATTGTGCTTGAATGAACGTAGCGCTTTCCACAGAAATAAAATACGTTTGCTATTGTGATAGCAATCACAAACACATTGCTTCAGCCTGGGAGGGGGGGGTTGCGTTGTTGATACTGTAATTACTTGGATTATATATTTATGGTAGCCTTGCAGTTTCAAAGCAGCAGAGTGTGAACCTGAATAGATTTGCTATGTGGACTGAGTCTCTTTTTTTTCTTTTTTTTTTTTTCTTTTTTTTTTCTTTTTTTTTTTTTTCCCCACTGGCAGCAACTTGTGACCCGTCCCAGGCACCTGAGGTAGCCCTGCAATGTACGGATGGGTTCCCCTGCACCTCCTTTAGTTTAGAAATGCGTGTTTTAAATGGTTCTGTTGCTGATGCTAGGGCTTGGGAAGTGGCTTTTGTGAATTATTTATGTGAAATATAGAATGAACAAAGGAATTGTCTTTTGTGCAACCCGTCACCCCAAACTTCAGCGTGGTTTGTTACACATAGCCTGCGAGTTTGCGTTGGTTTGCAGGTCTTCACCCAGATAACCTCAAAAAGTGCCACGTGGGCAAAGTCCCTAAAGAATGGAGTACCTGGGATCTTCTAAGTGCTTGTAACAAAGTAACTCATCAATTTACAAACATAATTGTCCTTAAATAGAAGGTGTATTTCACTTCAAGGGCTTTTCTGAGTAAGTCAGTGCTGAGGAGGAAGTGCTATCACAACGGGTTACCCTGAAACGGGTGAGAAGAAATGCAGTCTCAAGTCAATGTCATTACTTAGAGAGAAGGTGAGAAAGGCAGAGTGTCTATGACTTTGTGGTATGTGTTGTACTAGTTTTAGGGATTTAAGCTAAAGAACAGCCTTTTAGTTCTAAACTCTTGCATTTGATCCTTCTCCTGAATTCTTGTGGGGATTTTTGAAGCACAGTTTCTCTTGATGTATCATTTTTAATTTGAATGAATGAATAAGTGAGTGCAATTAAAGGGGCAGGTCTGGTAGAGGGAAAAATAGCGGAAGGTGGTAATTTGCAGATTATTCATGACAGAGCCTGGAATGAGCCTACCTGTTCTAAATGCATTGACTTGAGTGTGTTTTGTTCCATATTGACGTATAATTTCTGTCATGGAGCACTGGATAAATGAATATTTAGGTATAACATCACAGTGTTTATAATTAACTATCGAATGCAGTCCTTTTTCAATGAGTTTGTCATGCGTTTCGTAGAAGCAGGTGTGAAAATCCCTTCACTTTTCGAATCCTTCTATTTCTATTAGTTGAATGCTTTGGGTAAAAATAGACATGAGAACTTCTTGTTTTGCTTGTATTGCTCTTAACAACTCATCTTCATCTCTTGCATGTTCACATGGCTGTTGCATTTTTTGCAGTTCTGTAGGTACAGGTAACACGAGCACAAGTTGTGTGTACAGAATGGGCAATCCAGGGCACGTGGCACTCTGTTCTGCAGAGTTCTGAGAGGAATTTATTTTGTTTGTGTACTGGAGCAGTTCCTTATATGCTTTCTGTAACAGCGCTGCGTAGCCTCCATGCTGTACATTTATTTTAGTTATAGGAGCGATCCCATTAACTTTAAAATTTACTGCAGTGGAATTACTGGAATGAGGAGGGACAACTCATGTCTAATGGTCTTTTTGGGATCAGTCTGATGTGATGTATGGCTTTTCAAGAGGTTTAGAATGACTCAGTCATGATTTTATAATGGAAACTGCTATCCTTTTGACAGTAAAATGGCATTTGAAACGCAGCACTTTCAAGTATATGACTAAAAGCATTGCTGCCTAATGACACATGTTTTATTTAATAAAAAAAAAAAGGAAATAAGCAATAAGTAAAATTGACTACAGTACAATACTTGTTTGCTTTTGAGGTATATTTTAAAAATCGTAATAAATAGTGGAAAACTGGTGAACTATCTTAAACAGAACCACTGACAGGTCGTCAGCTTACCGCATCATAAATGTTGACACCATAATTTGGAGCATAAAGCAGCTATTTGCAGATCAATTTACAGGTGGATAAACTGACAGGTACCATGGGGGAGCAGGAACAGTCAGTGGGCTCATCTGGCAGTTTCTACCTCCTCCCTTCCCACTCCCATGGTTACCTCATGTTTTGGCCCTTCCACAACGTTCCTCATCCATCTCCTTATCTGCTCTTCTGTTGCTGTGAAATGAGGAAATCAAATCTCACCAATAAATGTGTGTTTATTCTTTGTAGTAAATACAGAAATAAACATTTTGTAGCAAACAATGGGAGGGAAAGTGGGATCAGGATTTCATGAGTTGTTTCAGAAATCGGAAGGCAAGACAGTTAGATTACATGATGCCTTGTTCTCCAATCTCTCTGTGTTTATGCTATATTGTTCTGAGGATTTCTGTGTCATTCCTGCAGAAGTCCTTGTTCCCACCATGCAGTTCTCAACCTGAGGAAGAACAGCTGAGTGATGATGCTGGGTGCTGCTGTGTTTCAGGTCTCACTTAGAAGAGGGCTGGTAAACCCCCAGTATTTCTGACCTGGAGTTGAAAGTAAGTTTTTCGCAGTCCAGTATGTCCTGCCACTGGTGTATCTTTCCCACTGCCGTAAGGGTTAGTGAGCTATGGGGCCTGATTTCAACCAGTGTGGTCCTGCAATAGGTATTTTTCCTTACTCAGACAAGGTTAGAAAGATGCATAGAAATACAGTGTTAATGATTGCATTGGAATGAACCATTTTTTAAATAGCTTAGTCCTTACTAAAGTCATTTTCTTTGATCTGTTCTGTAAAGTTGCTATGTATTTTAAATCAGAAGTCTTTTTTCTTTGAAAATACATTTTGTATTTGACATGTCAGTATATTTTTTGGGACAAATGGAATGAAGAGATGAATAGTCCTCTGTTCATATGGTGCTTGTTCCCTCACCTTGCTCTCTGGCTGGATA